CCATGTGAGTGTGTGTTGTCTCACTTGTGCGCTATACACCGCGTCCATGCCAGTGTGTGTGCATGTGTCTGTGCGTGTGCTTGTGCAAGTGGGTGGGTGGGCGTCCATGTGAGTGATCTTGTCTCACCCGTGCACTATACACCGCTCCCATCCCAATGTGTGTTGCCTCGTTAGTCGTGCTGCGCCAAACATATGCGTAGGAAAAGCGACGAAAAGTTGCGCCTTGGAACCGGTTTTTCCCTAGGCAGGACAACCCCAACTTTTAATCTCAATCGTTGGCCAACTGGTACCGGGTCGACGACCCAGATTGCCGCACGATCTTAAAACCTTAAAAATTGTGCATCGATCCTGGCCGTGGCCAGGAAGGACCGTAGACAACCTAGATCGCCGGGCGATCTTAAAATCATAAGATTGCATAACAATCCTGGCCGTCGGCCCGGTAAGATGCGTACGGCCCGAATACCAGATTTCTCATGTCAGCGATTTCTATAAGTGTAGGGATCTCCTGTTGTAAAGCAGCCCCCTACCTAGGGGGGTGAAGTGCTGCCACGTGGCACTCTAATGGCCATGGGGATGGAGAGAGGAGAGAGAGGGGAAATCCTTTTTCGCCAAAAACTTATGATTCTTTGGGCGGATTTGGCAAAAAAGGACTTGTTGGCTGCTTCGAACGAGATATGCCATTGTATCAGACGCGACCTTTAGTAATAACGATGGTTGAAAAACGAGCGCGTGCAGTTTTGGACCTTAAAAAAAAAAACGATCTTTAAATGATCATAGCTCCAAAATTAACACACAAAATTTCACATTCTATGGCTCGTTGGAACCGGCTCATCGAGAGCTTTCCAAAAAGCCAAAGATTAATAAATTTTCAACATTGGATGTAGAAGTTGGGATGAAAAATAGGCGTCGGTGTCATAATAAAAATGAAGTGGCGAGTTTTTATGCTCAAGCCACGTGGGAGATGGAGGGGGTGGGTAAGAAAGGGGAGCACGGAAGAAAGCATGATTTGATACAAGTGTGACGGTCGCGTCGGGATGGCGGTCTGTCAGTCTCGAGATGAAGAGGTGAGGAAGGGGGAGATGGAGATGGACCTCGAAGGGACAGCGCAGCTCCGACGCAGACTCAACACGCACGTACTCCGAACTGTGCAAATGAAGAATGAATGAAAATGCAAAGTGCAACTGGGGTATACCCCCATCGGACTGACTGGAGTGGACTGGTACATAGAGTGGTACCGGGCGGGACTGGAGCGGACTGAATATCCATGTGGCCTCTGAGATCAGTCCAACTCCTTGGTCCCACAAGCCGAATAGGCAAATAGGCCTGGCTATAGGCCAGGGTAGCTAGAGGCCCGCTGCAATAGACTTGCCAAGGGGTGGGGATGGACATTAAGCATGGGCTCGAGTGACAGTCAATCCTTCTCATGGGAAGCACTCAATGTTGTCAGAGTTCCTCGGGTCGTTACGTATGGAAGCATGTTGATGAGTTGTGTGGGTTTTTACCTTGCCAATGGAATAGGAATCAGACTGCTGCTCCCCAGAATGGGAGCCTAGTTTTCTCACAGGAAAAAAAAGGAATGGACAGGGACAAAGGTTGGTTTTCCCAGGGATCTGGTGAGGATCTTAGACACTTGGTAAGGATCCCAGGGAGCCGATAAGGATATTCCCATAACTTGGGCAGACATGGAGGTCCAGTAGTCGAGCAGTCGAGTCATGATTGTGTCGGTCTGTGAACAGTCAAGACTAGGTTTAGTTATGGGTCCAGACGATAGAGTTTGCAATGATGTTCCTTCGAAAAGGAGGGAGCATGTAGATCGGGTGCACCACCCGGCAGGGCCAGGAGTAGGCTGAGTTGGGAGGCAGGAGGCCAGAGGCAAGAGTACACCATTATCTCAACGAGTTTTGAATACTCATCTAGCGGCCGTGCCGCTGCCCGCCCTGTGGGAGAGGGAGTCGGTTTACTAGGTTGAAGGAGGACGTGAGGGTGAGGAGGAAGACTTCCATGGCTATGGAGTATGTGCAGTAGTGGGAGGGGGAAGGCCTAGGCTATCGAGGTAGGTGGGAGGGGAGAGTAATGGTAGAGGAGGAATGAGGGAACTGGCAGAGAGACTTGCATTTGGCTATGATTGACTCCACTTCCACCTCCTTGGTTGGCTCGCAATGCAAACCACCGTGGCATTTTCAACTAATGCATCTGGAAGGCCCCTGCTGGTAGGTTGGACACCATCCAGGATAATGGGTATGCGGAGATGGGATAGGATTGGTGGTAATGTGTTGTCTGCATACCCGTGCTCGACATTGATGCCATACCCTACGATGAGGAGAGGGGAGAGAAAGAGCGAAAGGAGAGTTCTTTCAGTGTTGGAGGTAAGGGGGATCATTCGGACATTCTTGTTCATTATTTCACTTCTTTTAGGAATCTTAAGATTGCTGTATTTGATTCATAATTAAGAGAATGTGCTGACTGTGTGAGGAAGATGATGATGGCTGCAGAAATTGTGGCGCGTAAGGTGGCACAAAGTGGAGGGAAGGTTCTGTTTTTCTGGTGCCTCGAGGGACTCGCCATCAACTTTATCAGAGGGGTCAAGTGCAATGGAACTGTTGTGGTGGCGTGGCGAGCGACGAGGTCCGCGATGCTTTTTTAAAAATATTTGGTGTTGTTCGACTTTGTGAGGTGGAGTGGAGGTGCGACATTGGCCTGCGTGTTGAACCTATATTTGGACCATTGACTTTGGTCTAGTGGGACCTTTTGGACCAGCGGGACACATGAGCGGGACTGGTGGTGCTGGTTGAGCTGGTCCTCATATATATATATATATATATATATATATATACTCCCTCTCTGCCTACGGTTTACCGGGCAGTTCTATTTGACGATATATATATAAAGCGTGGTGAGAACGGTTCTGACGGGCGAAATAGTGCGGGACCACTTGGGACCATTCGGGACTAGTTGGGACTTGTGTGGGACCGACATTTTTTGGGACGTGTGTGGCTTGTTGTACACGATTTTGCATGTGCCGCGTGAGGGGTGCCCAGACAAGGGGTGGGTTGAGACAATTTGGGCAACTCGAGACTTGGGTTTGAGGTTGCGTTTTCTTCGCTCGGTGCCGTCAGTTAGTCTCCATGACACTTCGGCGCCTCGTTACTCCAGGTCAGTGGTTGACTCGGATCCCTCTCACACCTTGTGTGCTCCCTCAAGTTGTTTGACCCTTCTCTTTTTTTTGGGTGTTCATGGAAAGGTCAAATGGAAAAAAAAGTTTGTTGGGACTCGTTTGTATGGGACAATTGGTCTGACTTGAGTGGGGTTTTCCGATTAAACCTACTGAATGTCTTGTTTGCTTGGCACGCAGGTAGGTAAAAGGGAAGCTCGAGTCCCGTAGAATGTGATTATGAGAAAGTGAATGCTTTCCTACCCTTTTTCTTTGTTGTTTTTAATTACTGGCCAAAAGAACCACGACGACGAGAAGGAAGAAAAGGGATGAACAAACTTAGCTTGGCCCTTAGGTACTGTTTTTCTATCCCGAAGGCCCTCTTGATTTGATCCCGTTGTCGAGCGCATCGGCTCCCGCCTTTTTTGCAAAGCGTGGGAGCCCTCGCGACCATGCCACACAGGAGTTAAACCAAACAAAACAAGAGACAACTTGTGAACGATACTTAACAACCCCGCGAACTGTCGAGGTAGTCGCGGTAGCGTCGTTCCGTCGCCGTTCTAGCCGGGTGCGCCAGCAGAACATCCCACGGTCCCCTACGACAGGATATTCCCGCGGGGCATATGCTTTCCCTAAGGGGCTGTCACCACCCTTTGGGGCGTATCCCTACCGAGCTACTAACCCACGTGCGAAAGCTTTTATATGCAGTCGCAGAGGTCGATCAGCCGAGGGCGTTTGCTCGTCTCGCTGCAGTATAGGAAACACTTGGTTAAACGCCGAGTGGGCCCGAACGTCACCCGTTGTCGAAGGGCGCGGTGTCCTGGCCCTCTGCCGTGTGCTGAACGCTTGTTTCCTCCGCTATGTGCCGGCCATCTGATCGAGGAAACCTTCGCTATGTACCATGTACCTATTCACGTACCTCAGCTGTGAGGTTGGCTCGATTAAAGCCACCACTGAAGGCGGTCCCGTGTGGTCAAGGATGTTGCAGGGCATATCTGGAAGCAGCGGAAAAGAAGGCGGTGGTCTCTTCAGTTGCGCGTCGGGTCCTTGAGGTCGGGATAAGGGATAGGTGTAGTGGTCATGAAGGCTTAAAAGGGGACAAAAAGAAAGGGAAATGGAAAAAGGAGGCATTTCAAGCCGCGGTAGCTTTCAGTCGAGAAGCCAGAAGTGACTGCGACGTTGCGCGCTCCATTTTCCCTATGCTTTCACGATTAGACTAAGTTTAGCGTCTCCAGTTCTCTCATGGAAAAGGCTGCGGACGGTTTAGTTTCGAATTTCGAACAAAGTTCGGATGGCCTAGACTGGCCTGACTATTAGCTTACCACTTTATGTCTGACTTGTCCGACTGAGAGCCGCGTGGTGGGACCTCAAAAGAGGGGGCGACTGGCGGCCGCATTGGTAGGAGGCTTATCACCCTCCATGGAAGGTTATAAGCCCCCTCCTTGCCATCGGACACGGGTACCCATCAGGACTAGTTTGAAGGTGTCTTTTCAAAAGGGGGGAGTAGCCGCTGGTACCCTGTTATGGGACCACCACGTGTGGTTTGTAGTCACGTCACGACAAGATGAGAGGGGATCGGTAGCAGAGGGTTTTGCCTACACCATGACCGTTGGGATCCTTTTCCTAAAATTAATTATTTTTGTCATTTCTTGAATCTCTATTGTTAGCAAGCAAAATTTGGAAGGCAGCCTGATCACCTCGTTCAAAGCATGGGGGTCGCGGTACGAGGAGAGCCTACAAAAAGGGGGAAAGGTTGGCTGTTTTGGCAGCTAGTCTATGGGTGTTCGCAGGCTATTTCGTCACGTTAACGTTACTGGTCTGAGGCCAGAAGACGGGGTAGTGAGGGCTGGCGTAAGCTGCCTAAGTGCATGCACCTGGAATCGAGACCCTGGCTATTCTGAGAGCGGCTATGGCAGACCGAGACGACCTGCGTGGCTACAGGCCAAGGTACATGAAGTACTCTTGGATGTGGGAGCGAGAGGATGAAAAGGGTACCTTGGTGGAGGCCGTGCTGTCCTACGGGAAGCCTGAAGGGGAAGTGAGATTAAAGATTAATGTGTGCGGCCATAAGGAACAGGAAATGAGAAGGGATGAGAGGTTACAGGCTGCCATTACCAAGGCGCGTAACAGGGCAGAGCGGAGGTGCAGACGGGATGGAGTAACTGCGGGTATGAGGGTGACCGTTACTTATCACGAGGACGACTCTTCGATCGGGACCACGACCAGGGAAGTGCAGCGCGTCGACCGGGACTCCGAAGGTGAGTCTGAAATGAGCGATGCAGAGGCGACCCAGTCCTGGCACGGACTGGACCAGCGGCGACGGGAACCACCGACCAGCAAAACCAGTGGAAGACGGCCCAGAGGCCAGCTCGCGGCGGCGACGGGACCATCCGCCGGTTGGGCCTGCAGAAGATGACTCGGGGGGGCTAGCTCAAGACAAAGACCTCGTGGCGGAAGGGAAGTGACACGCGAGAGGCGGGGCCCCCAATGTGTGAGAGATCAAGAAAAGTAAGAGAGAGAGAGTCATGGACAGGCTTGGGCGTCGCGGGGACCAGCACTGAGGAGACGCGCGGCCTCGAACAGGATAAGGGCAGGATTGAGAAGGCGGGGTTACAGATTAGGGATGACTGTCGCAATCACGATCAAGAACGAGAGAGAGGAGAGCCCGAGGGTCAACACATGTCGACTGATCTTTAAGAGGGATCGGGAGCGCTAAGTGGTCGTGAGTGGAGGCCAATCGAAGTCAGGGAGAAACCAGGTCTCCGGATGATTGAGGGTTGAGTCAGATGCTCCGACGGGGATGATCAGCTAGGAACACTGTCATGAACCGGGGCGAGAATGCGTATTGGTCAACACATGTCGACTGATCTTTAAGAGGGATCAGGAGCGCTAAGTGGTTGTGAGTGGAGGCGAACCGAAGTCAGGGAGAAACCAGGTCTCCGGATGATTGAGGGTTGAGCCAGATGCTCTGACGGGGATGATCAGCTAGGAACACTGTCATGAACCGGAGCGAGAATGCGTATGGGGTCTTGAAGTTCTTGCCTGAGGGCTCTGCATTCTGGAGTAGCCGAACGGAGAAAGAAACGTCTCATGCGTGCTATGCACTTCATGTGCGATCTGTAAGATGACGTGGCAGCTAATACGCGAGGGAGAAAGAGAGAGGAGTTATAGGCCACAATGGGCACTACTTACGTCTGACAAAGTTTGCGCACAAGGGTCATATAGCGTTTTCTTCATTTCTAGCCCGAGCAGGCTCATTGGCTCAAGTGGTCGTTGACGTCATCGCTGAACCCAAGTATAGATAAGAGACGGGGCTCTTCTTTGGCGGCTCCGTGAACAGGCTTGGGCGACCAGGCCCTCCTGTTTTTTCTGGAATTGCGAGACTGGAGTCTACAGGTAATATCTGGCGATAACTTTGACTTGGGGGCAGGGAAGGGAATGCTGCTACTATACGCTCTGAAGGTGGTTCCCTGCAGGCGTTGTCTTCGTTCTCCTCCTCGAGCTCCCCTATTACGACTCTTCGTGAGAAAGGAAGGAAGCGTGAGCATGGCATGCTGATTGAAGGAGGCATGCGAAGGTGCGCCCGCTTCGTGTCGTTGACGTCAATCCTCCAAGCTTAGAGGCCATTCTCAATTGTCAACAGTGTTTTAGTATGTTGGTTGTGGATCGCAGTCAGACTAAGCCTTCAGGACGGTGAAGAGGAGGTTCACCCTCTTCGAGATGGGTCATGCACATGGTGGAAATAATTGATGTGTTGGGTAAATGAAGGTGTCGTGCCTTGGAACCCTGGGGCCATCAGTGAACAAACTAGAATAAGGTTGTGATCGAGTTAAATCTTAATGAGGTAGGAGGACGGAAACTGTGGAGAGCTATCTGGCTGTCTGTTTAGTGACCTATGATGGATACTATTACCCAGCTAAGCGAGCTCGGTCAGAAGGTTTGAGCAACCTGAGAAGGGCGATCATTAGTGTGTGACCGTCTAACAACAAAAGCTATCAATGACGTTTGCACAAGATTGGGAATGGGCTCCTGAAAAACACACGTGATAAGTTTTGCCTTTGTTAAGGACGTCTCCTGAAAATTTGGAAGTTGATTACCAACTACGTTTCTTGCTGATTGCGCGACTGGGTCTCCATGGTTCGGGTAATGCATTGTAACTTTTCTCTACTTTTTCTCGTGTCCTAATAATTATATAATCCCCCAATGTTTAGTGGGCAGACTCGGAGTAATGCGTATAGGTGAGCAGTTGGGTGAATGTTATGAGTGAATGGGATGCGACACTCCTGGACCAGCTTGTGCCTCTCAGATATCAGCCCTTCATTTTGAGCCGCTTGCCCAAGTTCAGTCGTGAAGGAAACAATCACAGGTGCTGCAAAAGTCTAAGCCACATATTCAAAGGATACTATATCACCAGGGTGTAATCATACAAATTTGGAACCACACGAGCCTACAAGTGTTAGCACAGTCATATGATCCTAAGAGAGCATGAACCCACAGGTATTTGTGCGATCTTATGAGCATATGGCTGTACAGGTTTGCAGGCGCGGCGATTTTATGAAGAAGTGTAGCGACCGCATGAGCATACAGTCGAGCTGCGATAATGTGAACCCACCCGTGCTCGCCTAAAGTCGTTGGTGCTCGGTCAGCAGACAAGGCTGTCATTTCACCTTTCTGTCCCGAGTGATCGGGAATGCTTTCGTTAAGTGATGAGTCGCATAGGGAGGAGGCGACAACTAAGGAAAATACTTTATTTAATTGTTAAGTTCTTATTAGACGGGGACTAGAGTTGGTGGTAGTTAACAGTCCTAGCGTTAATTAAGAATGAATTAAGGTAACGAGGATGATTGTACACTACCTTTCGGACGTATGATACCGTCAACGAGGATCTACAGTCAGGACATGACTTTTGACATACCCCAACCCCCTCTCCTGACCCTGATGAGCATATTACAACTAGAACAAGGTTGAGACAGAGGCTACGGGTCAGTTTCGCAACCAGAGAAACGTCACGAATACATTTCACCGGCCAAAGCAAAAAGAAACCGCTACATTTTTGTGATTGGAGTGTCCTGCTACTCAGGAACCGAAGCATGAATGTTCCTCTGGACTCCCCTTGGCCCACTCAGTTCATGAATGCTATTGCAAAAATGACGAGATTATTCGTCTAAACATTAGGTGATCTGACTGAGATGAGGGCAACAGCTGGCCATTTAACACGGTCGAATTTCAAGCAGGCCACTCAAGTTCTCTGATAAGGGGGTCATGTTCAGTGTACTAACAGGCTCGGACGAGAGGGAAATTGGTGGTCGCTGGTCTGTTAAGGGCTTTTACGAGAGTGCCCACAGAAAACTGCAGAAGCACCGATGAAACTCCCATCACCTTGTCGTAGCTCAGTGCAGTGGTGACTTACAACTATACGCCTTGATAACTGGTTAAACTTAGGAGAGTTCCCTTTTCGTACTTCCCAGGCTCTCAGAGCAGAAGAAGCTTTTGAAGGGAATAGGTGCGATGAGAATCTTACAATGGAATAGTGTACTACGGTGGGCGCACCTTTGTGTTCTGGAGATTGCACTAGCAAAACAGTGACGTACCAACCTTTCATCTGAAAGTCCTAAAAATCGATAAAGTTGGGGACTCGTTGAGAGTTAATCTCTCGTATTCTCTTCTGTCAGGGATACCAAAGTGAAATGATCGGTGAACACCAGTTACTACCATCAAAATTCCTATCGATGGACGACGGTCAGTGATTCGAGAAGCTAGGTAGTACTCATTCGCCTAAAGGGAAACTCCCCTCTGAGGTCTCCTCTACTCTATGGTTACTGCTTAGTGCTCTGATCAGCAGTGTTCAGGTTGGCCTTTGCAAGGGCCCTCAAGTTAAACGTAGTAACCCCCTCAATACATAAATACTACCCCTTTCACTGGAGCCGACGAGATCGGCAACTGCGCTATCCTCTTCTTTAGACGTCCGATCAGAATCTGAGTTACGAAGACGGAACAAAAATGATGAAGGATGTGGATATCCTAGTGATGAAGTACAGTTCTATCAGAGATAAGAAGGAGAGTTGGGAGGAAAGTGTTTGTCGAAACATGAGAGAACTTGCCCCTCAATACATAAATACTACCCCTTTCACTAGAGGCGACGAGATCAGTAACTGCGTTATCCTCTTCTTTAGACGTCCGATCAGAATCTGAGTTACGAAGACGGAACAAAAACGATGAAGGATGTAGATATCCTAGTGATGAAGTACAGTTCTATCAGAGATAAGAAGGAGCGTTGGGAGGAAAGTGTTTGCTGAAACATGGAATCTCATATACAGACTGAGAGAGAACATGCCATTACGATGGCAGATAAAAAAGAAATAGATTGAATATGTGTTTTATTTTTATGACCATAGTGGCAAGCTGCATAGCACTGGCTCGTTGCTAAAGACGGTGGAGCAGGCTAGGGCAAGGCTTGGGTAAGCACAAAGAATACACAAATTTACCTTTCAGCTTTTATCGCCAGGCAACCAGTAGTTTCCTCCGCACTAACACTCGGTCACTCGAGTTGTCAGAGAGTCTCAACAAAAATTCAATCAGCAATCAATCATCACCCAAGCAACACTCATTCGTTCAGAACACTCGAGATTTTCAGTCAGAAACACTCAGCACTGTTATCAGTGAGCAGTACTCAGCGCTGTTATCAGTGAGCAGTACTCAACTCTGCAATCAAGTGAGCAGTACTTTGTGTAGCTATTAAGTGGGCAGTGTTCATTCAATATTCATTCAGTATTCAATCAGTGTTCATTCAATATTTATTAAGTATTCAATCAGTGTTCATTCAGTATTCAATCAGTGTTTAATCAGTATTCAGTCAATATTCAATCGGTATTCAATTAGTATCCAGTCAATATTAAATCAGTACTAAATCAACATTCAGTCATATGGGTTACTCGAACCTTCTAATCAAAGTTAATCAACTTCAATACCCGACTAGCACATGAGCACAGTTCAGTCATTCCCGGTCGAGTAGTCGGTTTTGGTAGTCTCAATCGGATCGCTTCCAAAGATGCCTTCCAACATCGATATGTTAGTGCAACTGGCTTCAAGCAAGGTGAACTATCTATCTTTGTGGTTCATGCTGAGTTCGCGGGAGGTACCATTCAGGACTTGAGACCCTATCTGAAGAGAGGCAAGGAGACTCATGAGCACTTCGACTCAGTCTGGATCTCGACAATCAGGTATCTTGAAGAGAAAGAGAGAGAATTTGACGAGAACGACACCAAGTTGATCCGTAGTTTTGGACCAAAGCTCAACACAGATTGCCTGAAGCCTCTAGTTCCTTTTACTCTCACTGATGGTTCTTATTGGGGTGAACTGGTAGATTTGGCCATAAGGTACATCTCTCCTGCAGTGATTGATTATGAGGCGGTGACCGAACCATCAGAGTTCCAGCATCTCAGATGAGGGATTTTCTCTCAGCCATATCTTCCTACTGTATGGGAAGACTTTTGTGCTATGGTTGACTTTCGTGTCATGGGACTCGGTTGGAATGCTCGGAGCTCGAAGGGTTCAGGTGGCTCTACATCCAGAGGCCACAACCTCAGAGAATACAGGGACGGGGCTCGAAGCACAGGAAACTGTGAGGATTGAGCCCTCAAGTAGGGGCCTTGCCATGATGTACATGTTCTGGGCTAAGGCCCCAGCAAGCCTCGTGCCCGCCCTAAGTGAAGGCGGGCCAGCAAATCAACAAGAGCCCTCTATGCCAACATTTCACGAAGTGGGGTCCATATAGTTGCAGCACGCCAGTTGGTTGGAGTGCACCGAGTCTCGGATTTCAGCAAATGCTGAAAGCCCAGGGCCTCTGAGTTAGTTAGGCCTTGGGCACTCGAACGTGAGGCCGACAATGCATGCTGGGTATAGAGGCCGAAAATGCCAAAGGGAAATCGGCCCACTATCTGAATCTGGTCGTAGGCCTTGATGAAGGAGGCACAACAGCATTGCCCCGGGGCCCAACTGTATCGGGCTGGGTTCAGCCTCTGGGTCCCGGTCGCAGGCTAAAGGGACACCGCCCACACGCTGCACTAGCATATAGGCAAGCAGAGCGAGTGGGCAAGGATCTTGGCCATTGCGGGCAATGTCGGGACGCTGCGCTAATCCGAGCTGCTGGCTGTTGCGCTGCGCTAAGAAGTGGTGCAAGGCAGGCATGCGCTAGGCGGTAGGGCGCTGCCTTTGCACCGGGCGCTTGGCGGCCATAGCCGGGCTGCAGAGGGCTCAGAGGGGTGAAGGGCGAATGTGGTTCTTCGGAGGTGAAGGGCGCTGTGTGGGTAACAGGGAAGAGTGTGGGTGAAGAGGACACGTACCTGGTGGAGGTGGAGGTCGGCATTGGTGTTGACATCATCACTCACTGGTAGTCAAGTTGTCTGGTTGCTTTCATTGCTGTAGTTGTAGGATAGGTTGTAGAGTAGATAGGGCGCTTGGCGCCATTATCAAGAGAGAGCTACATTTGGGTTATGCTGTTGGTGTTGCCCTGTTGGGCATGGACATTGACTCACGATTCTTCTGTATCATTCTCAATTGGATGGTTACTCGGTTCCATTGTGCTATCTGCTTTGGCTTTGACTACTTGGACTTCAGTGTGATTTTGCATTCTGGATTTCTGTGCTTCGTCCATACTCATGTCCCTTGCAATTGGGTATCGGAGCTGGTTTGATCGCCACTTACCTTTGGCACTCTGGCGTTGTACAGACTTGGTGCGTTGACGATGCTTCTTCGCAGTGGGTACTTGGGACATCAGGCCACAATAGGCGCACGCCCTGGGTAGAGACGGGTGCGCCGGAAAGCTATTACGACAGTGTATGCCGTGGGTTACAGCGGAATGTTTGATTGATGATGAAAGCATGCTGATGTGGCATTGGACTAAGGTGGCACTGCATTGCGTTGTGGGTGGTACCGAGGTCATGACCGGTCATCAAGTGCAACTTCAGCTCAATTGGTGAGAAATCTGTGGTTGGGGGCAGCTATCTCCAGGTATGTTGATCCCTTACCTTATCTACTCTCTCAATCTCTTCTTACCGTGAGGAAGTGAGTCCAACTTGAGAGTCCTCTCCTTGGTGATGTGTCGTGAGCACGCTACCTTGAGAGACGACAATCTTCCCGGAAGCATCTGGAAGGAGAAAGGGCGGTGCCTCTGAAGGGCCCTGGTCGAAGCACTGGGTCACGGTCNGAGAGACGACAATCTTCCCGGAAGCATCTGGAAGGAGAAAGGGCGGTGCCTCTGAAGGGCCCTGGTCGAAGCACTGGGTCACGGTCACCATGCCAACCCACAGGGAGTAGTGCACGCATGTGATGGCTGCTGTCCTTGTTGGCACTTGCTGCGCTAAATAAAAGTCATGTCGGGTGTGCCAGCCCATGACAGACGCTTACCAGACCGTTTATAAACAATTCTGGTTGGGAGTTCATTGTGAATCTGGCTGTGATCGTCGTCCTGACTGCGACGTTAAATAATTCCTGCAGAGATGGGGGCGCTCTATAAATTCCTCCTGATCAGCCAGATCACATGGATAGGAAGGCTCGTCGCCGTACGAGGGTAAATAAGAGTGGTTGGGCTGGCTTGCTCGGTAACGACTTGGGCACAGGGGTGGGCCGAAATACACACGAAGACAGTGCTCGCTCATTGATGCTGTCCGGTATGTTGGATTGAGGGGAAGGGTAGGTTCTAGTTGATGCTCATTTGTATACACAACCATACCCATCAATCATACATCTGCTACATGGTCATTTTGTATTCTTGATTAGTTGGTGGCCAGACTGCTAACACCTCACAGACAGATTAAATTAGGATTGTAGTATGCTACCATATCCAATTCTCTCTAATGCTGGCTGTAAGTGAACTAATCAGAGTACATCTGGACTATTTAGACAATCTGTGTGAATGTTGTAGACATGCCACTTGATCGGTAAAGTAGGGGACTTGTCGGACACAACTATTGTTAGAAAATTAGGTGTCGGTCAGATACATGTTGCGGTAGGATTCCACTAGGGGATTCTAGTGCAAACACTATCTGCCTAACTAATAAGTGGGTCAGACCCTGTTGATGATAGAGCTGACAATAGGAGACTAACACGTGCAGGGGCATTAAGGGTACCGCACGTGTTCCAGGCCTTAGAACAGGGAGAAGAAAGACGGCTACGTAGAGCCCGTGCGCTAGCAGCGGGGATAGCAGCAACAAACGCAGCAGCTAGAGAGCAGGCAACAGCAGCCAGAGCAGTTGCGATGGCTAACGGCGCCAGCTCTGCTGCATCATCGTCTGCGTCCTCGTCAGGGACGAATGGGACTCATTTGGGAATGCCACTAAGTTCCACAAGTTCCACAGGCACTTCCGGTTCAACAGGTTCTAGACAGGCTCCGCCAGAAGTTAGAGGAGGACCTGGAAAAGTCAACCGATAGAGAGAGAGAGAAAAAAAATGGAGCAGATAGGCTTGATAATTTAGAGGTTGACAAGGCTGAATTAGAGGGCTTGGATGAGTCAGCAGTGACTGACCCGCGAAAAGTATTGAAGAAGAATATGATGTCACTACATGCGCACGTGGACAGCAGATTAGACTTCATGCAAATCACTCTAGACCAGATCCTGGACGCATTGACAAGGCCAGGATACAGGCCACCAACACAATCGCTGTTGCCGTTATCGGCGATGTCAGGCCCCTTTCCAGTTCAAGCTGGTACACAGCCAAGTGGTACGTCTGCAACAGTCGCACAGACTGTTGCATCTTCTTCTTCGGGTCCAGCGGTGGCAGCTACACCACCGCAACAACCCTTTTCCTCAACAGGGACAGCAGCAAGGTCAATGGTACCCCAAGACCCCAATGAAACCGCCTCTTGCCTTCTCAGGCGAGAGGAAGGATGAAGAACTCAACACTTGGTTGAGGACAGTCCCGGTTTGGGTAAAGGCCAAGAGGACCTTGCTAGAGGACAAAGTGGTAACTGCTGCATCTTACCTCGAGGGTAAGGCAACCAAGTGGCTAGATGGGGTAGTTGTAAAGGCCGGGTATGGGCGGCGCATGGCAGACTGGGCTAAGTCTCTGACGTTAGACCAGTTCATGGAAATGGTAGAAGCTCGATGGCATAACCCACAGGAGGCACAAAGAGCCACTGATGCCATTAATAAACTAGACCAACGAAAGTTCAAGTCGGTTAGAGAGCTTACGACTACCGTTGAGAGCCTGATCCTCGTCCCAGGCATTAACTACAGCGACCAGTTCCTATTGACTACGTTTGTCAAATGTCTCCCAGAGAACATTAGGAACTTGCTAGCCAGCGAGGCACGCACTGAGTACCACTCGTTTGAGACATTGTCTAGGAAAGCCTTAGATTTGGAGGCCACTCTAGGCAATGTTCAACCAACCTCTCAGACTGACTCGAAAAAGAAGAAGAGTCCTCAGGAGTGGAAGAAGAAGGGGGCTAAGTTGATGATGGTTGAGTCAGATGGGACTCAAACTGAGATGGACGAACTCTCTGACCTGATGGACTATACAGAGTATGACGGGGAGGAGGTAGCTGAGGGTAGCACCCTCGCCGCAGTAGTCAAGACTAAGGCGGCTGGCTGAGGGAAGGGCCAACCTAGGGGTCAAGGGAAGGCCGCCTCCAATCAGACCAAATAGGCTGAGTAGGTTAAGGCAGGTCTTGATCAAGACGTGTGGCGTGACCGCCGAACGCGTGGCGCTTGTATCAACTGCAGGGAATACGAACACTCACAGTACAAGTGCCAGAATGCTAAGGTTACGCAAAAGGTTGTTCCAAAGATGGGGGCAACTTATTCCCAGGCTTGTAGCTCGGGAAACACGTGAGGCCAGTGGAAGTACTAGCTGCTTCTACTCAAGATGAAGTAGGATTGATACCCTCCCCACTTCATGACAAGGCCAAGGCTAATGACCCCTTAGTCGCCCCGCAGACACAACTAGACCAAACTATGCTCTGTACGTTAGATGTGTCTGAAGCCTTAGAAGACTTGGAGAGTGAGTGGTCAAACAAGGACCCTCGCGAGTCTTGGGTGGCGCTGAGGAAAGGTCCTAGAGGGGAACATTTCGTGGTGGAAGTCGATGTAGGAGGCCGCAAATGTGGTGCCTTCATAGACATAGGCTCCACGCGGAATTACATAAGTCGCGACTGTTTGGAAAGGCTGCACCTACAGGACCGGGTACGGCACCCTAGTAGACCTGTAGCATCTACTTTGGCCAAGAAGGAGCGCATGATTGTAACAGACTACATCAAGGACGTAGTCTGTACCTTCTCCTATGGAGGAGGTGAGCTTAACCATAAGATCTCGTTCTTGGTTAGCGACGACTTGCCATTCGAAATGTTGTTAGGCATGTACTACCTCGAAGTCGCTAAGCCCCAATTTGACTGGGAGAAGAAGGTGCTCAAGCATAAGTTGCCCGATGGCCGAACTGTTAGATTGACGAAGTTCAAGGCCAATAGTATTATAGATACCTATGGCTGCTTGTGCGCATCAGCGTTCTACAACTACTATAAGCAGAACCAAGAGGAGGGTATGTACCTTGTTTATGTCTTAGAGAAGGGGAAGGCTGTTAAAACACCCCCGGAGATAGAACGCGTCGTTGCTAAGTTCCCTGATCTGTTCGAGGAGCCCACAGGAGATGTGGAAAGGGAAGTTGTCCACGCTATAGAAATCACTCCAGGGAGTAAGACCCCAAAGGGAAGGATCTATAGGATGGCCCTCGCCGAGTTAGATGAACTTCGGCGACAGCTTAAGGAGGTGACAGAGAAGGGTTGGATTCGGCCTAGTACTTCCCCTTACGGTTCACCCGTGCTATTCGTACCAAAGAAGGGGGGTACTTTGAGGATGTGCATTGATTATAGAGGCCTCAATGCCATCACTGTGAAAAACGCAGAGCCTCTACCTCGCATAGACGACCTATTGGATAGGGTGCAGGGATGCAAGTACTATAGCAAGATAGACTTAAATCCGGATATCACCAGATCACAATAAGACCTGAGGACCAACACAAGACAGCTTTTCAGACTCGTTATGGTCTGTATGAGTTTGTACTGATGCCCTTTGGTCTTTGTAATGCGCCGGGTACGTTCCAGCACGCTATGTATCGGATCTTCCATGACCATTTAGATAAGTTTGCCGTGGTATACCTTGACGACATTCTGATCTTTAGTAAGTCTGCCGAGGAGCACGCACAACATGTTGAGACAGTCCTCTCACTCCTGCGAGAACACAAGTATAAGGTCAACTTAGAGAAGTGTGAATTTGGTCGCACTAAGATACTATACTTGGGTCATGAAGTATCCGCGGAGGGAATTAGG